TTTTTTTTTTTTTTTTGTAGGGGAGCACTAATTGGGATCTTATAAAGTTTTTCACTTGTAATAAGGGGGGGGGGGCGTCAAACTTTTTGCCGCCCTTCCCCACTCTTCACCTTTGCTCGCTATCATAATTTATTAAGAGTTTATACGGTAAACTTTGCTTTTAGGTATTGGTTAATTTCAATACGATTGACCGATGTTATCTATTTGTAAATGAGAGCATAATTAGAAGGCATTTTTCACGCGCAGATTTTATCTCAACTTTTTTCTTTTTCTGCTTTCATTTTTATGATGACATTTTCGGCAGCTACGAAAACAGTGTTTTTGTTTTTTTTATAAGTTTTATTTCACTGTCCCAAAAAAAGACAAATCAATTAACTCAACGAGCTGTCAACAAAGATTGTTTTTTTTTATGTACTTGTATCTAGGATTCAAAGGATATAACAGTTTTAGATTTTCTTATTCGATGTTGCACAGTGAGTATGGAACTTTGACATTATCGGGGTTCATAAAAAATCGAGAATGCTCAGCCAGCTTGATGAAATGTCGGATTCCCTTTAGGATTGTTCCCTCCCCCCCCCCTGTCCCAAAACCCGTGTCGTCAACGAAAACAAGTATCATACTTAATAATGTCGCACTAAAATGAACAAATCTGTGAAAAGAAACCACGTTTATGTTTCATATATTTTTGTTTACTGAAAGCGATCTTCCATTACGAAACATCTACAGCGTGTTCTCTAACGATGACTCATAGTTTCTGCCTCGCCTCGCAGCTCAAATTATGTCGGTGGTAATGGCTCGCCAAAAAAGCCAACTCTCGTCATCGTCGACTCGTTTTTTTGATGTCAGCTTAATCGGTAAGCACTCTTTGCCCGTGAGAGTAGTCCGAGGGGTGGATCTACTAACACACACTAATGCTGTCTTCTGGTGGTGCCAATTAAGCGAAATGTCACTCGCTCCCATGTGTGCCAGGGGGCCGCCCCTGATGCTATAAAACGTGTTGTGTTGGGTTGTTTTTATTACCAATCCATTCAGTCGGCACTTGCCAACATACCCTTAATTGTAAGTTGATTTCAACTAATGCTAAATTATTAAGTACCGGTATTTCATTTGATTTTTTACAATATGAAACCTTAAAACACTTCTTTTATTTTTAAAAAAATATTTATTTATTGATATGTTTAAGGCAATTTTACTCAATAATATTTTATAGTGTTAATTATAAGAACCCAAATAACTGGTCATAAAAAATAGAGTCCATTCATTTCATACCATCATACTATCAGATAAAATCATTTAACAAAAACTGTGTTATATATTAGACTGATATGTAAGAGCGTTTAACGTGTGTAATATGACTCGGTTAGTGAGAAATGGTGATACTCCTATAATGTAAGAATTACTGTATTCACTCTTGGCATTTTGGTTGTTTTTCGTTTTTGTCACGACTGTCCAAATTAAAAGTTGTTGTTTTAATGAAAAGTCATGCAATGCCTGTATTAGGCCAATTAGTATTCTTTTATTTTTATAAATTAAAAAGTGCGTACATACATAAATTGAAGGTTGAAAGTCTTTTAATTGAAAACATCATCATCATCATCAGTGGCTACTGCAGCCCATGTAGGGCCCTGGCCTGCTCCACCACATCCTTTCATTCGGATCCATCGATGGCCTTCCGCCTCCATGCACTGACCCCAAGCTGATGTCAAGTCCTTCTCTACATCATCAATTCATCTCAGGCTTGGTCAACCAATGAGCCGTCTGCCCCTGGGGTTTTTGCCTGTAGATTACTTTTGCTGCTCTACAATACGGCATCATCTCAGTGTGTACTGTCCAGCTCAGTCTGACTTTTTTTTTTTACTTTTGGTGGGTCTTCGTACAATTGTTATATCTCTTGGTTTGTAGGATTTTTTCATCCATCATTATCTATCACTTAACCGTATATTTTTCTGAGGATTTTCCTCTCTCGTGTGTTGAGCAGTTTGCCTGCTTTTCTCATACGGGACCAAGTTTCACTCGTCTAAATTTACAACTGTTTTAATGATAGTTGGGTATATGGCTTTTTTTTTTTTTTTTTTTTTTTTTTTTTGGGTTTTTCTTTCTTTTGTGTTTGGGTGTTTTTCTTTTTTTTTTTTTAGGGGCCAATGTTTTTTTCTTTTAATTTTTTTTTTTTTTTTTTTTTTTTTGGTTTTTGGGTTTTTTTTTTTTTTTTTTTTTTTTTTTTTTTTTTTTGTTTTTTTGTGTTTTTTTTTTTTTTTTTTTTTTTTTTTTTTTTTTTTTTTTTTTTGGGGGGGGTGTGGGGGTCTTCAAGAGAGGCTATTGCTTCATTGTAGTTTTTGTAGGCTGACATAATAACGGTTGCCTGCTGTCAACTTTTCTTTCACCTCTGTCATTATTTCTATCTGCTCATTTGCCGCGGCTTTTGGATATTTGAAATTAGCCACTCTCTAAAAGATTTTTCACTTATGGTTGATTATTTTGATATTGAAACCAGTATGTTTGTTAGGTAACAGTTTTAAATACTTTGTATTTTCTTATTTACCTCAAGACCAGCTTTAACTGGGCGCATCTCCAAGTCTATTGAATGCTTTAATTATGTCATTGCTGTTTCTGCTGAGTAACGTTATGCTGTCCGCAAATGGCAGATACTGAGAGTGTTGGCTGTATGGTTCCCGGTGGTTGTGCTTCTGAATACTCATTAAATCAAGAACAAAAGTACATGAATATCTGCTCATTACTTTAGCATGTGCTACATCTTTAAGTATAGATGTGAAACAAAGTTTGGGAAAGCATGAAAAAAAAACAATTACCTATTTCCTCTGTAAACGTGTTAAAATAGTGCCATTCAGCAGTGCTGTCTTACTGCATTGATTGCCACACTACACAGTTGCCCAGGGTCTGATGGTGCTCGAGGAATAAAGTTAACCATATTATTAATGAATATTGAAAGATCTTTAAGCAGTTTAATTTGCTTTAAAAGTACAGTGGGAAGCAGATCTTTGCGAACACTTTCTCAATTATCATTTTTTTTTTTTTTTTTTTTTTTTTTTTTTTAAATTTTTTCCTTTTTTTTAAAGTTTTTTTTTTTTTTTTTTTTTTTTTTTTTTTTTTTTTTTTTTTTGTAAATCAGTTCCATTTTTTTAAAGGCTTTTTTTAAACTCATCAATTTAAAACATAAAATGTTGCCATGCCCCCCTTCCCAATCGCCTGAAAACCCCAACTCCACCTCCCGATGAAAATTGAATAAAAGAAAAGGCAATAACGCATGGGTCCAAACCTCGCCCAAAATACTTCTCCAAACATTACCCGGGAAAGGTTTTAGGTGCACTCAGAACATTAGTTTGCACCAGGCCCCAGATATTAAACAGCACAATTGTTTAATATTAATTTAGACATGAAACAGATCTCTCCGCTTTGTTTGAAAAGTAAGTTTCATTTCGATTCTTCCATTTCGGACCTCTAAGGCTTTTTTTTATGATCTAACAGCCTTTTAGCACTTAAGAAAAACAATGGTCACGATCTTGTATTCTCCAGATGACCAATATGAAGTTCGTGGCTATCTCCCTCGTTGTGTGTATCTGCCTGGCACTTTCAGACAGTTGTCTCTACAAGGGTCGTCGCTATAGGGTAAGTTGTGCTCACATCACCTTGTCTTAGCTATCTTAACGAACTAATACAATGAGGATGCAGCCAACCAATACAATTACAGCGTACACAAGTCTGTTACAGCAGTCTCCTTTTGATGCATGATTCATGTTATTTGTAGGATTGCGTTTCTAATGTATTCTTTCATACTTGTAGACATTGCTTGGACATTTTTAAAAGTCCTTTCAGTTTTTAGTTGATGAAGCTGCAATTAAAAGACGCCTTTTACTGTAGGGACTTTTTTTTTCTTTCAATTTCAGCCTGGTCAGAAGTATGAGATTGACGCCTGCACTAAGTGCGAATGTGACTCCAACAACCGACCCAGATGTGTGGCTGTCATGTGTGCCTGGCCCCGGTGTGAGAAAGAGGTCAGGCCCATTGTTAGACCAGGGGACTGCTGCCCCTCTTGTCCGGACGTGTAAAGGTTGGCTCCTTGGTCATAGTTTAGGATATATTGGTTGGGTTTAGATACGAACATTGCATCTTTGTGTATCTGAAACTAGAGATTTTTATTATCAGAGCACTTTCATTTGAAATTTTAGATGTATATATATATATATATATATATAATAATAATAATAATAATAAAAATAATAATAAAGTTTATTTGAAAAACCGCTTCATCCCCAAAAGCTCGAAGCGCGGTACAAAGACAAACATATTAAAAAGAGAAATAAAAAACAATCTAAAATTTACCACATTTAAAAAACAGACGGAACAATATAAAACTACATACGAGCATACCCAGTCAAAGTCTTTCATCCCGTTTCAACCATTAGCAACACAAGCCAATATACATTTAACTGAAAAAAGATGGTAGATAGCATCACCCCAGAAGGTGTTTGCGAAATAAATGTGTTTTTAAATTGGTTTTAAAGGACTCAAGTGTCTGGCTGTTTCTGTGGTGACGAATTTAAATTTACTGTCTATCATAAAATAAATTCAAACACACTGCAAGTAAGCTGTATTGTAAATGTAGTTAAGCTGCATTGCAAATGTAAGTATGCTTTATTACAAATGTAGTAACGACCTCAGAGAAATTGAGCATAAACATTTAGGAGGAAACCAGTTTCTTGAGTTGAAGAAATTATAGACAGCCACAAAGACTGACACTCGCATTGACAACGGGTAGTTTCTGTCTTAGATTTGTCTACATTACCCATCACTTTATAAGTTACATTACCCATCACTTTATAAGTTACATTACCAATCACTTTATAAGTTACATTACCAATCACTTTATTAATTACATTACCAATCACTTTATAAGTTACATTACCAATCACTTTATAAGTTACATTACCAATCACTTTATAAGTTACATTACCAATCACTTTATAAGTTACATTACCAATCAATTTATTAATTACATTACCAATCACTTTATAAGTTACATTACCAATCACTTTATTAATTACATTACCAATCACTTTATAAGTTACATTACCAATCACTTTATTAGTTACATTACAAATCACTTTATTAGTTACATTACCCATCACTTTATTAGTTACATTACCAATCACTTTATTAGTTACATTACCAATCACTTTATTAGTTACATTACCCATCACTTTATTAGATACTATAACCATCACTTTATTAGTTACATTACCCATCACTTTATTAGTTACATTACCAATCACTTTATTAGTAGGCTACGAATGCTGTTAAAGTACAATAATTACAATGATTCATTTATATACATGAATATGTTTATTTTCAGATAGTGCCTACAGGGGAGTGAAATCTTTACAGAATTGATGATATACTCATTGAACTTTGTTTTATTATGCTAATTTATAATGGAATCTGCATTGTTAAATTTTAAAATAATGTTTACATAAAAAGATGACGAATAAATTTCTCAATTCATTATTTATTTTATTTTATTTAGATTACTTTTATTTGTATGTATTTGTATTTATATGGTAAACATTGAGAAGAAAATATATCAATACTTTTGACTTAATTTAGAGAGAATATTTTTTCCCCATTTCAAATGACCTTTGTGGTTAAATTTTTAAACATTTCTTTTTTTTTTCTATTTAGATCTATATTTTTTCTAAGTCTTGACTAAAACTTGCATTGCTCATGAAGTAAACATGATTTTTAAAAACGAAATTCGGTTCGAATCTGTCATTTGAGCGAAGGTCGATTACGAGTATTCTTTATATTTTCCTTAGAGATCCACGCCACTGACCCACATGTAATCGGCCCTTCTAAACAATGTCTGGGAAAATATATAACCGCATCGTTGGTTGGGGAAAAAATTTTCTCACAGTCTTGAAACTCGGACGATCGCTTAAGATTGTGTTCAACGTTAATATTGTTTGTCCTGAAATGGGACACGCCTAATCGACCGACCTTATAGTAAAGGTTCTTGGGGGTCCATGCCACGTCTCCTAGAACGAGGCTGTGGTTGGGTTTAGATTATGTAAAACTATTGACGCGGAATGTTTATGAAACGTTTCAGATAAACTAAACTTTAAGGCTTTAAGGTACAATAAATATTTATTATTTTTATACAATAATCAGTGACGTCGGGTGAGAAATTTTCTTCACTTGAAATAATCTAAATTAATTAATGATTCACCATTTATTTAAAACAATGATTGTGTCTTTTAACCTTAGCTTTAAAACAAAATATTGGATAAGACGAACAAATGATTCTAAATTTGGCCTGTGTATTTATAGTTGATGCAAGTCATTGGTCATTGGCTGAATTCAAATCATGTGCTGACCGAGACCAATGAGGTTAATCTTCAGAAGTGTGGTAAGATTTCCACGGAGTAACAACATCTCACTCAAGGGATGGAAAATGGGGAAAAAATGTGGTTGTGGGAGCGGGATGTCATCAAAAGTACATCTGGTCTATTGGAATTTTCAAACAATGTACAACAATGCGTGTTAAATATTGAAACCATGGTTTAACACGTGACTTGAGGACGCTAACATTTCATGGTTACGCCCATGATGGTATTTTTTTGTATGTAATTTTTTTTTTGGTAATGTTTAGATATTCGGGTTTGTTTACCTTAAATTAAGTTGCGAATCTCCTGTGAAAATAATTTAAAAAATAATAATAATAATTCAAATTAGACACAGCGATTTCTTAACGTCCTACAGTATTTCCAAGTGAAGGGTTCAAGGGAAAAACCAGCTATGACAGTTTTTCAAAATTTCTATGTTATCTCCCTTATGGCTACATTCCATTTAATAGAATAATATGCTACATATATCCAACTGAAAAAGCAGCTTAGTCAATAAATAAATACGTACAAATCTTGATATTTTCACACTTTTATGAGGAATTTTCAAACTTTAAATTCAATTTTCTCAAAACTCTCAAAACCTGACATCACTGGTTTTACTCTTGAGCCCTTCAAGTGTATTACGGGATTAAACGGTTACAAAAAAATCTTTTCAAAATCATAGTTTCCAACCAGATTTAAACTATTTGTTTTTTTGTTGAAGTGTGTGTTTGTTCTAGTTGCCCCAAATACCGCTTAAAACAGAGAGAAGACGATTATGTCGAACACAAAATGACAAGGAGTAGGCGGCAACAATTATGTGTACTCTAGATATGGCACCGTGGTGTGTTACTCCAATTATCCCACCACACAACACCCACCTCAACGTTGAAGCACTGAAGCCGGTGCGTTAATTGTTGACCATAAACAGCGTTTCATTAAAGACAATCAGGGCCGGATAATTGCCAGGGAAATGTGCCAGTGACCAGCTGTCGCATTCGTTAGGACTGCCTCTGGATAATTGAATCCTAAGTTGTATCAGACTCCACAGAGAACACAGTTCAAAATCAAGTGTGTGCTCTGCCATTACAAGTGATTATTTCTTTTAAATAAGAGGAATAACATTATTTTATTTTATAAAAATGACAATTGATGTACTTTTTTAAAAGTTTACCTTGATATATTCGCACGGCTTTAAAAGGTACTCTTTGATTTCAATTGGGCCCGTGAGAAATTGATTTAATACTGACCGCATTACTTGATATGTATATAAATTCATTGGGTTCAAGTTGACTCATCGGGTCTACTGAAGAGAATGAAACTAAATTTCCCGATAGTTGATTCAACGAATAGAAGTCCGTGGAGATGACAGCTATATATTGGCATGATCAGAGCTGCCTTAAATTTATTTTGTTTTTAATCGCTGGCATCCGTCCATCACAATGTGACGATGGTGTGAAATTCGCAGGACAAAATCCACAAGGCCTGGGACAATTCTTCTAGGATTATAAGCTGGTTCCCAACAGCAAATCGACTCTCGCCACGCCGCTGGACAACCCAAAGGAACATCAAGTGGATGATACAAATTGGCACCAGTGGCGTCGCAGGAATGTTTCATTGCACCAATGTTATCCGCCTACGGGACTCCATCTCCGGTTTGAATTCAGAGTTTTCTTCTCTTAGTCGCCATCCAAGGTTGACGATACCCATCGACCCGGGGTTGACGAGTCCCATCCATCCGGGGTTGATGAGTCCCATCCATACGGGGTTGATGAGTCCCATCCATACGGGGTTGACGAGTCCCATCCATGCGGGGTTGACGAGTCCCATCCATCCGGGGTTGATGAGTCCCATCCATACAGGGTTGATGAGTCCCATCCATACGGGGTTGACGAGTCCCATCCATCCGGGGTTGATGAGTCCCATCCATACAGGGTTGATGAGTCCCATCCATACGGGGTTGACGAGTCCCATCCATACGGGGTTGATGAGTCCCATCCATCCGGGGTTGATGAGTCCCATCCATCCGGGGTTGATGAGTCCCATCCATACGGGGTTGATGAGTCCCATCCATCCGGGGTTGATGAGTCCCATCCATCCGGGGTTGATGAGTCCCATCCATGCGGGGTTGATGTTCCATACGGGGTTGACGAGTCCCATCCATGCGGGGTTGACGAGTCCCATCCATCCGGGGTTGATGAGTCCCATCCATACAGGGTTGATGAGTCCCATCCATACGGGGTTGATGAGTCCCATCCATTCGGGGTTGATGAGTCCCATCCATCCGGGGTTGATGAGTCCCATCCATCCAGGGTTGATGAGTCCCATCCATACGGGGTTGATGAGTCCCATCCATCCGGGGTTGATGAGTCCCATCCATCCGGGGTTGATGAGTCCCATCCATGCGGGGTTGATGAGTCCCATCCATGCGGGGTTGATGAGTCCCATCCATACGGGGTGCTGGTGATGTTTTGCTTGACTGGGCTTTGGTGGGGATTTCTTTGACGTTGACGTATTAATGATCTAGCTGCAACAAAGCGATGATTCTGATGGTATACGTAGCGTTTTTGAGCCAGTTACTGGGTGGCCGAAAGGTCTAAACTGAGTCAATCCCAAGCTAATAGATTTGAGCTCAATGACTAGCACCCGGGGTGGATGGGACCTGTTGACCTCTGATGGCAACTCATCTAAATGATGGCAAACCCGGAAATGGAGTCCCGTAGGCGTTATGACATTGACCACATGAAAATTCTGACAACGCCTGTGACGTAGAGCGCATAAAGAGCACGCACACACTGCTGGTCATCTACGGCATCCTGGTCTATTTTCCAGTCGCCTTGACTAACAAGAGAGGAAAGCTGGTGAATTGAGCAGCTCTCCTCCACTTTAATACAAAACACAGCTCAAGTCAAGGCTACTACTAAGTCTAAAATTTCCTTTGTCATAACCTCTTGACACTATCAGAATGTTCTGCCTGGTCCAACACATTGTATGCAAGTACAACTAAGTCTGACGTATGAGTTGTTTAATAGGTGGTGAGCTGCCAGTTTGTTGTTGTTTTTTTGTTGTTTTTTTTTGCATTGCTATCTTATTAATGTAACGCTTCATATAACAGAGTCGCCTGATTTCGCCCCAAAAAAGCGTTTGATTAAACTGCCAACTTGCTGCCGTCGGCTTGGCTTTTCCATACGTTTCTAAACAATTAAACGTGTCTTTAACTTCTTCGAAAGCTAGAAATGTGCACATGTCATCTAGATATGTGTACTTGTGATCTAGAAATGTGTACTTGTGATCTAGAAATGTGTACTTGTGATCTAGAAATGTGTACAGTTGATCTAGAATTGTGTACACGTAATCTAGAAATGTGTACTCGTGATTTAGAAATGTGTACATGGGACCAAGAAATCTGTGCATGTTATCTAGTACTGTGTTCATGGGATCTATCCTCTCGCATCAAATACAAGTCTGCCAATCTTTGCGTCAGCTCGTTCACTGACCCTCACTTTCCTGTCTATCTCTCTGAACTGTTGCTTCCTTACATCCCCACAAGACAACTACGTTCTTCCATTGACAGTAGAACCCTCTCAATCCCAAGAACTAAAACTAAGACCATTTTCTATAGAATAGTAGTTACTATCCTAGTGTCTCATTTGTATTTACTTAGTTTACATGTTTTAATAATTGTAAAGCGCTTAGAGCTTTATGATAAGCGCTATATAAAAATGCCTAAATAAATAAATAAATAAATCTAGAGATGTGTACATGTGAACTAGAAATGTGCACATGTGATCCAGAAATGTGTAATGTGATATAGAAACGTGTACACGTGATCTGGACATGTGTACATGTGATCTAGAAAGCTGTACATGTGATCTAGAAATGTATACGTGTGATCTAGAAATGTGTACAAGTGATCTATAAACATGTACATGTGATCTAGAGATTTTTACCAGTGATCTAGAAATGTGTACATGCGGTCTACAGATGTGTACTTGGGATCTAGAAATGTGTATAAGTGATCTAGAAGTATGTACAAGTGATCTAGAAATGTGTATGTATGATGATTTTTTTTTCTAATTCCAAATCCTCACAACATATTTCCTATCTAGTAATAATTCGCCCAAGCTTCTCTGCCTCCCCTCTTTTTGAGAAGATTGTAAATTAATTATAAAACCACAAGATATTTCCCTCAAACGAGATAACTCCCCCGCCCCCCCCCCCAATAAAACACAACGGTAGCAATTTTCTATAACAATAGAAGAATAACTGAGCGGTCAGTAGATATATAATTCCTAACCGGGTAACAAAAGGCCGATAAATCCACAGAAATGTCTCCTAGCGGTGAGGTCGCTATTCTTAGA